ATTTTTATTTATAATTTTAAAAAATTAATCTTATTGTTATTATTTTTATTAATTTTTCTAATAATTATTATACCCAATCATTTTGAATATATTTATTAGTATACTTTTTTATTATTTTTATCAATTTTACTTTTTTAATTATTTCTTTATTTCTAATATTTTTATTTTTAATATTTTTGATATTTTTATTGTTATCTTAATAAAAATATAAGAAAGAAATTTAAGTAAACAATAAATAGGGATAATTAAAAAACATAAGTAAAGTAAATCATTTTTATCTATTAAAATAGTTATGAATAATAATTATTATAATTATAATTATCATAAGGGTAACTAATTAATGTTTTTTTTTCGTTTTTCTTAAGGTGTTGGACTTTGGCTTTAATAAGGGATACACTTCTTTTTATTTTCGTTTGTTCTAGATAACATTTAATTTCTTTGCTAGATGAATAAATATTTTTTAAATATGGTTAAGGAATTTATCCTTTATTAACCCGATTTCCATATTTGTGCAGCCTAAAAATAATAACACATTTTTAAACAAATACAAGTGAAAAAAGATTGTGTGAGTAAAAAATATTGTTTAAACACATTTTATGTGTTTAAATCTTTTTGTACTTTTTTTGTTTAAATTCTTTATCTTTTTTGGTAATGATTTCATCACTAGTATCGTCTAAATCTAAAAGAATTATTTTACAATATCCATTTCTATAAACATAATGCATTTACCTAATTATGTACTAAAAACTTACTTACCTTGAAAACCGACTCTCTGGATTATTAATTAAGTCCTGGAAGATATATTTTTAACTTAAATCGTTATTTTACACTTAAGATGTTAGAACAAAAGCGAAACTGCGTAACAAATAACATATAAGAAGTATTAGAGATCATCAAGTCTGAACATCTATGACTGCGCGAGATATTGCAAGGTTGCCAAATTTCGGAGGTAACAAATGTACGTATACATGACGGAGGTAACTTTGATGTGGCTGAATCTGATTAAAAAGCGACACTAGCGCCAATTCATATATGGTGGAACTAAAAGTTCCTTTTTAAGAGACTGGGGGGTCAAAGTGACCTCCGAAATATTTTTGCACAGATTGATTACTGACACTCCCCCAATGTCAAAAATATGGTTAAACACTGTGACCTCCGAATTTGGAGGTCACAGCGTCATATATGAGGTCACAACGTATGAAGGGTCTCCGTTTTGGAGGTGACAATGTACCCTTTATCAATATATATTAGGGTGGGCCGAAAATCCGCTTTTTTAGAATTTCGTTTAGTAATAGCAAAAATTTTGTTCATTATGTTGTAAAAAAATTTTGTGTAAAAGATTAAAATTTTCGATCAACATCCTAGGCTCGCCCAACGCAATTAAAGATCAAAATGTTCAAAACAATTTTGATACTAAAATCGGTTTTATTTCTAAAACTATCCATCTGAAGTAATTTAGTGTAAGGACCTTTTTTGTAGAGCATAAAATTTCCGATCGAATTAAGTTAGGAAAATTTTTTTTTGAACATTTTGATCTTTAATTGCGCTGGGCGAGCCTAGGATGAGGATCGAAAATTTTAATCTTTTACACAATTTTTTTTTACAACATAATGAACAAATTTCTGAAACTATCCATCTGAAATAATTTTGTGTAGAGCATAAAATTTCCGATCGAAATAAATTAAGAAAAATTTTTTTTGAACATTTTGATCTTTAATTGCGTTGGGCGAGCCTAGGATGTTGATCGAAAATTTTAATCTTTTACACAAAATTTTTTTACAACATAATGAACAAAATTTTTGCTATTACTAAACGAAATTCTAAAAAAGCGGATTTTCGGCCCACCCTAATATATATATATATATATATATATATATATTAATAAGTACATAATAATAAAAATAAGAATTATAATAATATAAGTATACTTTAATTATTTTAATACCTATAGGTAGGTATTAATAATTAATAATTGCTTTGTAGGGTAAGTGTAAAAAAGGCTTACCTGTTTTCGGTGGGTTCCTTTTATTTTTTTTTCAGATGGTTCATCATCGCTACTCGAATCAGACATAATTAATACTAATAATAACAAAACCAAAGAACAAAACACTTTAGCGGGAATATACAAATTTAAAACAAATGGCTTTGCGTCGGCGCTTTTAGCAAAGAGAATAGAGAGAGTATAAAAGTTAGGTTAATTTTAGTATTCTCTCTCATCAATGTCGGCATTACAGAACCCTACAGTCGGAGTGCTTCATGTATGTACTAAGAATTCCCTAGATGGCGCTATATTAATTTAAATGCACATACTTCCACTGTGGAAGTATGTGTAGAAAACCATAGACAAAAGAATGAAAGGTAGAAATTTTTCTATAGACAATAAACAAATAGAATAAAAACACAAAAAATAAAAAATATTGTTAATAATATTATGTATGAAAATATGTCAGTTAGTAAATTTACCGTACATTTGTGTACGGTATTGAGGTTTGGACCGTATACCGTATTTTTATTCAAATTACCGTACAAATACGGTAATTACCGTACGAATGGCAACGCAATGTGTGCCTAGAAATTTTCTAGGCACACATTGATAGGTAGGAATATTTTTATCAAAACGGATTTAAGGGGTACTATGATTTGTAAAAAAAATGTATGCGAAAATATGGAAAATTGTGGAAAATGCAGCCCTTGCCCCGAAACGTCTTTTTTTTCAAGCGTTAGCGGTGAGCATAAAATATCGAAAACCGCCCAACAGATCTTAATGAAAAAAAAATCCATATTAGAACATAGTATCACCCCCTTCGTGAACGAAGGGTTTTGCAAAAAAAAATGTTCACGCAAATGGCGGTGGTTTTCTCAAAATAATCGATTTTCGAGGGTACAAAAATTGAGTTTTCCGGCCGAAAAAAATAGAAATTTTCGTCCGAATGAAAATGAATGTTTACGAAGGGGCTATTGGGGCATTCCACGTTACTCGGTAATTTTTGTCCCGCCCGTCACAATTAAAAATTGTGAGTAAAAACCACAAGTTATAAAATTAATATTTTATAATATTATTTTTATTGTGCTTATAACTTATTAAAAGCATAATAAAACAATATTTTTAATTAAATTTTATAACGTGTAGATTTTACTCGCAATTTTAAATTGTGACGGGCGGGACAAAAATCCCCGAGTAACGTGGAATGACCCTATTGTAATTAGGAACAACACATCCAAATTTCAGATAGATCGGTCAATTGGTTTTCGAGGTTTTAAGTTCATTCAGTTTGCCTTTAAATGTTTGTGAGGTAGCGCGTTATAAATTGCTATAACATAAGTTCTAGTGCTCCTATCTTGATGAAATTTTAAGTATATGGGGAAAATTCCCCGTGAATTCGACACGAAAAAAACCCTTGCCATTTCGAAATTCCATGGCAATTTTTCCATGGGTTTCCTGACTCAAAATAAAAATTTAATTTTAATTTTAGCACGGTTTGTCAATTGTTTTTGGAGATATGATTTTTTAAATTTTCATGATTATAACGATTTTGACAATATGTATCGATCATAACTTTGGTTCCAATTGAGCGATTTCGATGAACGTCCAATCATTTTCCTTGGCTTGAAACAAGCTTTTTAAAATAAATATTTTTGATGCTGTGGCATATCGGCACACTAGGATTTTTTTTCTTCGAAAACTAAAAATCCATTTTCTACACTGTTTGTATTTTTTTTTAATTTTAATTTTTGTTTTGTTTTTAATAAGCAAATACAAGTTTTTGTATCTATATTAAAGTAGTGCCTATGAATTTATTGATTTTCAATCTTAAAATAATTATTATTAATAATATTTTTTTAAACGATTTTAATACCGTAAACACGGGTGGCTTTAGCTCACTTTCAAACTTAATCTTAACATTTTTGTAGTTTTAACAATCATAAACATTAAATATTGTATACCAAAATTTGAGTCTTGAGTTGCTCTTTCATAATAACTATGTTATAAACATTCATAGGGCTGAGTTTCAAAAATAAAAATTAAAAACTGGGTGTGCAAAGTTACCCCCTGGTTGCGGGTTACTTTGTCTCACAGTGTATTTTCCGTATAAAATTAACTCAATATTTTATTTTATTTTTATTAGACATATGTTAGCAGCGACATATAGCAATTGCAAGGGATTACCGATAAAAACAATAAAAAATCGACCTGTATAATATAGAAATCGTGTATTTTTAAGAGTTTTGCACTAAAGTGTAATAAATCCCATTTATTTTTTAAAACACTGATTTTCCTGTAATATAAACTCAATAGAATCGCTCAATTGACAGGTTTAGACGAACAAATTATAAATGTTAATTTTATCGAGAGCGACAAAATTTTTCATAAAAGCGCTAAAGTCACCCGTTTTTACGGTAGTTAAAGGGCTAAATATAAAAATATTAAATAAAAAAAATCAATTTTGATATTACAAAATGCCCGAAAGTGAAAAAAATCAAAATTATTAAAATTGAAAATTCCGTAAAAAATATTATTTTTTCTATAGACATGATCTAATATAGATAAAAAACTTGTATTCGCTTAAAGCTTAAAAAAATAAAAAAAATTAAATAAAAAAAAATACAAACAGTGTAGAAAAAAAATCAGTGTGCTGATATGCCACAGCATCAAAAATATTTATTTCAAATAGCTTGTTTCAAGACAAGAAAAATAATTGATCGTTCGTCGGAATCGCTCAATTGGAACCAAAGTTATGATCGATGATATATTGGCAAAATCGTTATAATCAAGAAAATTAAAACCGTACTAAAATTAAAATTTAATTTTTATTTTGAGTCAGGAAACCCATGGAAAAATTGCCATGGTTTTTTTCGTGTCGAATTCACGTGGAATTCCCCATATATTGTAAGAATATTCAATAAAAAAAAAATCGATTTTTTGACCCAGCACAAATGTATGTAACCCCTTAAGGTGTACTTATCTTGAGGGCACATTATTAATTGTTTTCGTTTTAAAGGGAAAAGAAACTGTTGGTCGGTTCGGACGATTACGGCCGCGACCTGACCGGCGTGCAGAACCTCAAGAAGAAGCACAAGCGTTTGGAGGCGGAGCTCGGCTCGCACGAGCCCGCCATCCAGGCGGTGCAAGAGGCCGGCGAAAAGCTGATGGACGTCTCTAACCTGGGCGTGCCCGAGATCGAGCACCGCCTGAAGGCGTTGAACCAGGCGTGGGCCGAGCTGAAGCAGCTCGCCGCCACCAGAGGCCAGAAGCTGGACGAGTCGCTGACCTTCCAGCAGTTCCTCGCCAAGGTCGAGGAGGAGGAGGCGTGGATCAGCGAGAAGCAGCAGCTGCTCGGAGTGGAGGACTACGGCGACACGATGGCCGCCGTGCAGGGCCTCTTGAAGAAGCACGACGCCTTCGAGACCGACTTCCAGGCGCACCGCGACCGCTGCACGAACATCTGCGACGAGGGTTCGACGCTGGTCGCCCGAGGCAACCACCATTCGGACGGCATCGGGCAACGTTGCGAGCAGCTGCGCACCAAGCTCGATCACCTGTCGGCTCTGGCGGCGAGACGTAAGGCGCGTCTCATCGACAACAGCGCCTATCTGCAGTTCATGTGGAAGGCCGACGTCGTGGAGAGCTGGATTGCCGACAAGGAAACCTACGTCAAGACCGACGAGCTGGGACGAGATTTATCTTCGGTTCAGACTTTGCTTACAAAACAAGAGACATTCGATGCAGGTATGTAGAACATCGCTGAAACTAGATCTAATTTGAACAATATATTTAATTTTCCATAATTCAAAATTTGGACACTGAAAAAATTGGGGAGGGGGAATTTAATTCTTTTGGAAATTTTAAAAATACACAACTAAGTCCTATGGAAAAAGTTGAATGGCAAAGTTGTAATAATACAACTTTTGTATTTACACTTTTTTCACATAACCTCAAAACTTATGTGAAAAATTCAAATAACCAAGTTTTTGGTTTTTTATTTTTCTTTTACAAAAATTTTTTTTTGTCACGAAATTTAGTGAAAACTTACCTTTTTATATCCCAAACACACTGTAATTTTTTTTTATTTAAAATATTTATTTTTTTACCTTATTTTGACTTAATATCGAAAAAGCACCCTAATTTTCAATCAAAAATTCTCGCGTCAGCTTTTTTTAAAAAGTCGGTGGGCTTTTTGTTTGTTGAAATCTCTACTTTCTGATAGCCCGTTTAAAATTGTTAATAAGAGTTCTTAAAAATTTACTCTCTAAAACTGACATAGTAGGCCTTGTATTTTGTAAAAATATGGCTTTTTTCGCTACAAAAATACTGTTTATTAAGATCTACACGGTTAAAACTGCACAATAAATAAAGATTTTACAGGGGTCGCAAACAAATGGGCAAAATGTATGTATATTTAAGTAAAAAATTAGCTTTAAAGAATTAATGTTTAATGAAAAAATTCATAAAGAACAAAAATAAATTCAAAAATCAATTTTTCTGAAAATTTTAAAATACTAGGTTAAATATGATTCAATGTTAAATTGAAGGGGTCAATGCAAGAAGTCACAAATAGGTGATTCTGAGATATTACGGTTTGAAGGTTTATTTTTGATTATGAAATATTACACAACATATTATGATGAAAATGTTTGTTGTATTTAATTCTTTGTGAAAAGTAGATTGGACTTCCATGGTTAAAAAAGAAAAAACGTTTTATTATATCGAAAAAATATATATAAATTAATTTGGGACTTGGGCACTTGTTACAATGTTTTTATTTTGAAAAAATTAAGGGATATTTTGAGGAGAATTTTGTTTATTCTTAAAAAAAGGTTTATTATATTATAACGCCGTAAAAAATATATAAATTGTGAACAAAACTTAAGACTAAGACATAACTTAGGACAACTTAAAGCAAAACTAAAAATATAATAAGAAGGCTGGCTATTCATAAACAGCGTCGGCCTGTTGTAACTGATCAATTTCTTTATCAATGACATCATTTTGCTGGATTATACTTCCATTTTCAGACAAGGTTCGAGCAAAAAAACTGTAACTGGTATGTTTTAAGGTTCCACAATCTATTTTATTTTACTTACCTGCCATATTTATGTTTTTAATCACAGACACAAATTATTAGGATTTACACAGTTTAATAGGTAATTTTCTCAGATATAACCTAATTTAAATAACGTGGACTAAAGCACCTGTTGCATTGCATCTGTCAAAATGATTACTTGAGTACTTCTTGCATTGAAAATCAGGTAAACTCCCATTGAAGTAAATGCAAACTAAGGCACTTGGACACATATTTCTGCCACTCTGCAAATACCAGCTCAAAAGCTGAAGTGAAACACTTTTGCAATGACCCCTTGTTTGTTTCAAAGGTCTCACCGCTTTCGAACAAGAAGGAATCCAAAACATCACCGCTTTGAAAGATCAACTGGTCACCGCCAACCACGATCAAAGCCAGGCCATCCAGCAGCGCCACGCCGAAGTGATCGCCCGCTGGCAGAAGCTCCTCGCCGACTCTCTGGAGCGCAAGCGCAAGCTGCTGAACGCGCAGGACCAGTTCAAGCAGATCGAGGAGCTGTTCCTGATGTTCGCCAAGCGAGCGTCCGCCTTCAACTCGTGGTTCGAGAACGCCGAAGAGGACCTGACCGACCCGGTGCGCTGCAACTCGATCGAGGAGATACGCGCGCTCAAGGACGCGCACGCGCAGTTCCAGGCCTCGCTGTCGAGCGCCCAGGACGACTTCAACGCGCTCGCCGAGCTCGACAAGCGCATCAAGAGCTTCAACGTCGGTCCGAACCCCTACACGTGGTTCAACATGGAAGCGTTGGAGGAGACTTGGCGCAACCTGCAGAAAATCATCGCCGAGAGGGACGTGGAGTTGAGCAAGGAGGCGCACAGGCAGGAGGAGAACGACAAGCTCAGGAAGGAGTACGCCAAGCACGCCAATGCATTCCACCAGTGGCTCACAGAGACCCGGTAAGTACTTTTATTTAATAACGCTATGCAACAATTTTGGAATCATCAAAAATCACCTGGATGCGGTCTGGATCGGTTATTTAATAGCTGATATACTTCCCACATATCACAAAAATATATTTAAAATATTGAATGAATATTTTTGCTAAATGAACTAGATATTTTAGAAATATTAGTCATTATTATTTAAATGCTTCTAAAATGTTTATATTACAATAATTATAAAAAAATGTCACAACATTTTTAAGAAAATATGTAAATGTTTTAGATGAATTACCTTATATGTATTTTAATAATGTTTCCTCAACATCACAAAAATATCTTCAAATATTTATTTTAACAATGTTGTCGTAAATGTTGATAAAATATATTTAAAAAAGCCGTGTGACACCCAATAGTAAAATAGTAAAATATGTAAAACAAAAATTCTTTTAGAAAAATCACGGAAATAAAAGAATATTTTTTTTTCTAGTCTTGGTTTTTTCCTTTTTTTTTAAATTTAGCTAGAGCCAGCCAAGTTATAGTTTAATGCCAGCGAAATTAAAAGGTCAGTACAATGTTCATATAAACTTTTCAAATATAGGCGTTGAGAAACTGTTTAATACTTTTGTATTTTTGTATTGAGATAATAAAATAATTTTCACATTTAGTATTATTTTACAAGGAAGGCACTTTATTTTAACGATTGTATGACAACTGTCAACTAACTTCAGCCCGTGACTAAAAACCTGTTGCTAACTTCAGCCGGTGACTAAAGCGCTATAAAGCCACAACTTGTCAATGTGTAATTAAAAGGTCACTTTGTCATGGAAACATGTACGATAATGGGCGTTTTAAAGGTGGGAGTAGAAAAATATATTTAAAATCTGTGGGTAAAAGGCATAAGGGGATAAGTCAAAAAAAGGAATTTTTCAATAGAGCCTTTAACGTGATCGCATTAATTCAGGAAATATATTTATGTTTAGCGGGTATACGCTTTTGTTAGCATATGACATGTGGTAACAAAAGGGTATACCCGCTAACCATAAATATGTTTCCTGAATTAATGCGAATACGTTTAAGGCTCTACTGAAAAATTGCTTTTTTTGACTTATCCCCTTATGCCTTTTACCCACAGAAATATTGAATGAATATTTTTGCTAAATGAACTAAGCATTTTAGAAATATTAGTCATTATTATTTAAATGCTTCTAAAATGTTTTTACAACATTTAAATGTCCCGCTTTTTATATTTATACAATATTTTTCCCAACATTTTTGTAAATGTTTTGGATACATTACGTTATATTTCATCAACATCACAAACATATCTGGAAATATTTTCAAAATATTTGCAGTTCATTGCATATTTATTTAAACAATGTGTTGTAAACAACATTTTATCATTTATAAAAGCCGTGTGACACCCAATCCTTTTTTTGTACTGATTTTCTTTATTTTGGAAAAGGACAAAATGTTTTATGAATATTTTTAAAGATATGTTGTTCCTATAACAATGATTTTATGATAGTTATTATTACTTAAATTTATTGCTGAGAACTATCATCAAATTATTATTATTATAGGAACAACACATCTTCAAAAATGTTGGTCCCGTTGGTAATCATGGAATCGCCCAGATGTGGTATGGTATTCTCATATCAGATATACAAAAACATTGGAATATTCCATAGCTGGAAAATTTAGTACTAATAAATAAATAAAGAATATTTTATAAATAATCGATATAAATAAAAGTAAAATATGTAAAACAAAAATTCTTAGAAAAAAATCGAAGAAATAAATATTTCTTTTTCTACTATCTTGGTTTTTCTTTTTAAGTTTATTTTGTACTTCCTTTTCCTAAATTTAGCTTGAGCCAGAAATTGTTGTAACTCAAGTAAAATGTCATTTTCCGTCGCAGTTTCGGTTTTCGGATTTTTCAGGATGGAAGCTAAAAAGAATTTAATTTAAATTAAAATCCGCGAATTATCTACTTAGTTTGTTTTTAAAAATTAAAAAACAATATTTTTGTTTTTCTAAGCGATTTTATTAGGTTTATGTTTGTTTTTTGTTAATAAGAAATTTACCGATGAATAATCGTCTTCAATGGGGTGGTACCGGCGCGGTTCACTTCACTGCCATTCATAAATAGCAATAATAATCTAAACAATCAAAATAAATATAATACATACCTTTAGCAGGAAGGATTATCTGGATTATTTATTATTTTAACTTAGCGCACTTAAAACATTCTCAACAAAGTAAAAATGGCCGAGAACTGACGCTGATGACTTTAGTGGCCGAGTCTCAGACAACAGATACCTTTTTATCGAGAGGGCGGTGACATCAGAAAAATAATATTTACATAAAATTGCAAAATAAATGTTGAATAATATTTACTTGATATTTATAAATGTTTACGCCTAACAGTTATAAAAATATGTTTCCCTTAAGGTAGTTGTCGTGGTACAATATTGTCAAAATTTTTTAGATTATACGCACCGTAAAAGTATACGAGCTTGTAGCTAAGTGATTCATAATTTGTTCGCAAGACTGTACCCTGGACACGTTACCTTTACGTAATACTTTCAAATATTTTCATAAGTTTTAATCCGGCAACGTCGCTTATGCTCAACCAATAGATATATTGGAGACTGAATCAGTCCGTTTTAATTTACTGCGGAAATAATATCTATACTCGCGTACAGCCTTGCCAAATTGTTTTTATCTTACACTAGTGATGTATACTTTTTACAAATTGTTTAACTTTAAACGGTTATTTATAAACAATTGGACGGTCAAAAATTTTTAATTTTTTTTTTACTCAGCAACAATACATTACTGTTAGTTTTTTGAAAGCTTCTGACAGTTAGTTTTTTCTGTATAACTAAGAAACTGGTACAGAACTACAGAAAGCCTATACAATCCATGTTAATTATCCAATTTTTAATTGAATTTATCTCGGGTTATAGACGGTCAATCGACTTCAAATTTTAAGGATATATGTATTGTCATGTCCTTAATAAGTATACAAAAATTTAAAATTTTCTGATGGAATGCTTACAGCACGACAACTACCTTAATGTGACAAAATTTTTAAAACATTGTGTTATATGGGTTGTAGTCAAACAAAATTATAAATATTTGGTGAAAAATTTAATATTTTTAATGAATCTGGTGTAAATTAGGATTTTAAAGTGTCAGAAAAAAAACCGGAAAAAATGGGGAATAAACTGTTTTTTTTTTGTTTTTTGGGAAAAATTTATTTTTTTTGGAAAATATACACATTTGAAAAAAGTAGCAATCAACAACTTTACATTATTTTAATTAAAAAAAAATATCCTTGCAGAAAAAAATTGCTAAACATTGAATTAAATTAAATTTATTTAAGAAAATAAATGTAAATGTTAAATATACTGTCGGTTTGCAAAAAAGAGTCCATTGAAAATATCCAATTACAAATTAATGAATGATTTATAAAGGTAAATTACAAAATTATAATTTTATAAATCAATGTGTCAAATAAAACGATAGTTACATCACCGAATATGTTTTTTTGCGACCCGGTAGAATATTTTTACTATTAAAATAAAAGGAATAATTATTATAATCACGTATAATCGTATAAACATATTATTATGATTATATTCAGCGTCGAAAATTCACTTCAATTCACTCTTCATCACTAGTATCCGTAAAAATTTTCTGAAAAATTTACTTACATTTTTTCGTATTACCCTTTGAATAAAATGAAAAAAATTTAAAATTCAATTTTTCTGACAATTTCTTGATTAAAAAATAATAAATTATTTATAAAGATAAATTACAAAATTATAAATCGAATTGTCAAATAAAACGAAAGTTATGTTAATTCAGCCCCGAACCCCACGTTCAATTGAAGGGGTCGGGGCAATAAGGGACCTACCTCATTAGAAAAATATTTTAAGTTTTCATATAAACCTTATAACAAAAAAAAACCAATTTTTTAAACTTTTATTGACCAATCAATCTGAAATTTTGAAGTGAACAAAGGGATTTTTATTTGGACAACAATTTTTGGAATCGCATAATATACAACGTATCGAATAGTATATTATACTTTGTAGTTCATTTAAATAAAATTATGATAACAAGGATACCTAAAAAAATCAAATGTATATTACACCTTTTGAATGGCTCTTGTTTTTGTAACCTGTGTAAACTTGTTTTGTATTAATTAATTTTTTTAAATGTTGTACCTGTGTTTTTTTATACAAGGTCCAAGTGGAAGATCAGCAATACATGCATTTCAATTAATATGACTTTTTGGAACATAGCAAAGTAAATTAAAACAGACCACGCGAATCTATCACTCAAACTAAAACTAAAATTCATTGCGGTGCTAATCCCGACCTAGTTGAGACATTCTACGCATGCGTATTTTAAAATATGGCCTTCCAGACCGCTTCCTTATAATTTTTGTACTGTTGCACAGTGCAATTGGTCAATTTAAAATGTGGATTGTACTGTAAATCTAAAATGGTTTAAATATTTCAGTTACCGTATTTTGGGTTGGGATGGGTAAATATTTGTTTGAATAGGTGTTTACTAAACCATATTAAACGTTATTTGTGATTTAATACTAAAACATAACATTTTAGTTTGTATACTGGGCGTCATCTAATAAATTTATTATTTTTGCAACAACTTATTTGGTGACACCCTGTATAGTGTTTTGCAAATTTTCGCTATATATAATTTATTATGTAAAAAATGCTTTGTTCTATAATTTGCATTTTTTACAATTAATACAAATTTTAGAACATCGATGATGGAAGGTTCCGGTACTTTGGAACAACAGCTCGACGCCACAAAACGCAAGGCGCAAGAGGTGCGCGCGCGCAGATCGGACCTCAAAAAGATAGAGGACCTGGGTGCCATCCTTGAGGAACACCTAATCCTCGACAACAGATACACCGAACACTCGACTGTCGGTCTCGCCCAGCAATGGGATCAGCTCGACCAGTTGGGCATGAGAATGCAGCACAATCTCGAACAACAGATACAGGTAACATTTTTTGGTTTCGTACGAGGGGTATATTCGTACGCCTATTACGCAAAACGTTGTATTACGTCCTATTACTAAGTATTACGTAAGTGCTGCCATCTATAATTTTAATTATAAATTAATGTTTGAAGGAAAAACTGTCTATTAAGCTTAATTTTCATTAATCATCCGTTTGTCCGTCATCCGTATGTCAGTTTTTCAATAAAATCGTCCGATAAGAAATGTTCTAATTTTCATGCATACGTTTTTTAATGACGTTTAACGGATTGATTTTGCGACAAATAGAAATTAAGTGTCAGTATATTCACTTAATAAATTTACCTAATGCTTAATTGTCATAGTTACAATTATGTCAACAATTCGTCACCTGAGAATTATAGTGTTCTATCTGCATTTTCTTTTTTCTATTCAGGTTAGTCTTGTTTTAAGTATTAAAGATGCATATTGTTCTATCTATATATAATTGGGGTAGAAATTGTACAGTTTAAACCTTAAACTTTACAATTTCTACCCCAATTATATATAGATAGACCAATATCATCTTTAAGACTTAAAACAAGACTAACCTGAATAAAAAAAGGAAAATGCAGATAGAACACTATAATTCTCAGGTGACGAATTGTAACTTTAACAGTTAGCTGTCTAATAAATTTAAAGGTAGGTAAATATACCTTATAAAAAGAATATACTAGCCCTAATATACATTAAAATGTATAGTTTAAAAAAAGCAGGTCCTTTTAGTTCTAGTTTTAATTTTTTTTTGTTTGTCCTTTCTTTTTTTCCGTTATTCTTATTAAATAAAAACTTAACAGTAAAACATTATTCACATAACGAACGTAAAATTTACGTTTTACAATCTTATTGAAAAAATATAAAAATATTTGAAAATAAATTATCTTAAAATAACGTTAGGCGTCAAAAACAGATGTGTAGTGACGGATGAGTTAAAATTATTTAACCTTTCTCTGTCAGTTGAAACTTGACGGACCGATAAAATGTCATAATTTTTTAATTATAATTGGACCAATTAGAGCGCTCCCGGATGAACGGACTGACGGACAAACGGATACATGAAAATTAAGCTTAAAGGTATAGAATTGAAGTTAGGTAACCAATATACATAGTCTTTTTGTACTGAGCAAAGCACAAAACAACTTTATTTTATCTTCAAGGCACAATTTTATTTATTATACGCTAAATGAAACGTACAATTATTAAAAGTAGAATTCAGGTTATAGAATTTTATAATGGTTAAAACGCGGTAAATAATTATTTTTTAGCCTACAACAATCAAGTTTAAAATATACACTGATTAAACATACAATTTTAAAAACATTGGGTATTATGTTTTATTTACAATTCATTGTGGTTTTATTAAGGTTTTTATTTAGTTTAAAATCATTTTGCTGTTAAAGACCGTATTTTTGTTAGTATACCCTGAAACTTTTGTACAAATCAAATGAACAGCAACGAAGATACAGCGATTCAAAGTCGTCAAAAATGACCACTTTTTAGCAAAATAATCAAAAAGGGGCCATTTTTACCGACTTTGAAACGCTGTATCTTCGTTACTGTTTGTTTAATTTGTACAAAATTTTCAGGGTATACTAACAAAAATACGGTCTTTAACAGCAAATTTTTTATTTACTTAAAATATTACCCTAAAAGTTATTTTTTGAACGTTTTTTTATTATTAAATAAAAGGGCTTATAATAATATAGGCGTTTTAGAGTTAGATTTTTATTACAGAGGTTCCAAAAATTATGGCCAACACTGTATCTCTTCAAGTAAAGAAAATATTTTTTCTAATTTGTAAGGCATGTTTAAAACTAAAGTTATGAAATGTAAGGTTAGTACAATTTGCGTTAAAATTTTAGGTATCGTGTATATACTTACTATCAAAACTATTATCAACTTCATAACGGTAAACCTTTTAAGAATTTACTATGGTTAAATTAATTTAAAAGAAAAACGGAATAAAAGACGAATTTTCTGTCAAATTAAATCTACCGGTATACCGCGGTATTCAAATAATAGATGACTCGCAAAATGTGCATATTATGTACAATAAAATGTAATAGATTACATCCACTTTGTACACCTATTCGGTTTCGTACGAAATCGTTTAATCGTATATTTTCTTCTTAGGCTCGTAACCAATCGGGCGTGAGCGAGGACGCCCTCAAGGAGTTCTCCATGATGTTCAAGCACTTCGACAAAGAAAAGTCCGGAAAACTCAACCATCAAGAGTTCAAGAGTTGCCTGAGGGCGTTGGGTTACGACCTGCCCATGGTGGAAGAAGGCCAGCCCGATCCGGAATTCCACGCAATTTTGGACTTTGTGGATCCGAACAGGGACGGATATGTTTCGCTGCAAGAGTACATGGCGTTCATGATTAGCAAGGAAACCGAAAATGTCCAGAGCTCCGAGGAAATCGAAAAGGCGTTCCGAGCCATCACCGCAGGTGACCGTCCTTACGTAACCAAGGAAGAGTTATATGCTGTAAGTATATAATGTAATTTATTAGGGATGGGGAACCCATTTGATGAAAATTCCCGGAAACTTTCCATCAAAAATTCTCGAAAAAGAAAACAAATTATTGCGGAAATGAGTTTTTTTTGTGCCATATAAAAGATACTAAAAATACTATTTTTTAAAAAGTATTGCAGTTCTGATCATTAAAATATGAAAAAAAACTACAGGCAAAATAAAATCAACATTTTTTAGTGAGCCTATCGTTTTTAAAAATATAGGCTCTGGAGTTGCTACAATTATTATATTTATTAGTGCCACCCCATTGGCATCTATGGCGCGCCGTTTTACTCTTTACAGGGTTGCCACTCATCTGGAAAACCTGGACATTTTTAGAAATGTCAGGGAATTGGCAAAAAAATCTACAAAGTCAGGGAGTTCCTAAGTTGGTCAGGGAATTTGTTATTTATAAATAAAACTGGTCAACAAAATTTTCATTCAAAAAAAAATTATGTTGAGTGTAATTTAAATTTAATTTATTCAAAATATGGCAGCGCTATATGTCAAACTTATCACTATAACCTTAGAAGTCTATATCGCGACTTATCACTATAACCTTCTAAGACTATAACCAACTATTTTTATGTTTAGGGTGATTAATATTTGTTTATTTTATTAATGGTAAGCATAATTAATAAACTAATTAATTAATCAGTAAAAGCATAATTAATTAATTAATCAGTAAAATCATAGTTCCTTTTGATAAAAAACCGTTTCAAAACAAATGTTTGATTTGCAAGCAGTCATAGGCCACATAAAAAGTGCGGGCCATTAAAAAAGGATTTCGGCAACAAAAAAAACACAAATTTGTCAAATTTTCTTTAAAAAAAAATAACCAGATGGAAAATACTACTCTCTAAAAATAAATTAGTTAAAAATGACTAATTGTCAAAGCGAAAAAGCAGCCACTAATAATTCTAGTCAACAGCAATTTGTATCCCGGATATTTAGCAGTCAATTCCTATGTAATGCTGAATCCGAATATGTCGTCAAAAGTTATAAAAGTAGGACAGTTTTTAAGATTTATTCAATTTTCCATATAATATGGAATTGACTATATCTCAAAAACTGCCATGACGGTCTTTTCGGATTCAGGGGACAATTTCACATTATAATTGGCTGTTAAATGTCCGGGGTACAAATTGCTGTGGACTACAGTTATTAGTGACTGCAGTGAATTAGTCAAAAATGACATATTTCAAAGAGAAAAAGCATGCTTTTTCACTTTGAAATAAGTTATTTTTGACTAATTCTTTTTTAGAGAGTATGCTTGAAAAAGTTACAGTTTTACAGGATAATAATATTAATAATAATATTGCTTTAGAAAATAACCAAAATAAATCAATTTCTTCAATAACTCCTCGGCCATTTCAAGCGCGCGAAACGCACGAATTACAAAACTGTTTTTATAAAAAAAATTGTAGATTATTTATTATATAATATTTTGGCATCAAAATTGTCAAAAATATTCTTCTTTTATTAGGTTATACATTAAATAAAAAAAAACCCAAAAAATATTTTATGAAAGTAGATATAATTTTAATAATTGAAAGGTGTGGACAGGACAAAAAAAAGATTTATCTTGTCCCGTCCACCCCTGTCAATTATTGAAATTATCTCTACTTTTATAAAATATTTCTTGCGATTTTTTTTATTTAATGTATAGCCTAATAATAGAAGAATATATTTGACAATTTTGATGCAAAAATAATATATAATAAATTACCTACAATTTTTTTTATAAAATAGTTTTGTGATTTGTCCATCCATCCGCTTGAAATGGCCGTCCTGCAAAAAATGATAGAAGAAATAAAATCTTTTTTGTACTATTAAATATTTACTGATAATAACTCATCAACTTGATAAACAAGACCTGCTGCAGACAAAAAATTTCATTATTTCTGTTATTTTCAGATTGAACAGAAAATTAATGTAATAAAAACCCAAGAAACAAAAACCTAAATTTTAAATTATCCTGAAAAAATTACCTACAGAAAATTTTTTGTTTGTTTTTTTTAATAAGAACTTTAATAAGAACGTTTTTTGAATTTTCTAAACTTCAATAAAAGTTTAGTTTTTTAATTAATCATTATAATTCTCCACCAAGAGAAAAATAAATTCAAGTATTACATAAGCACCAAATGAGGGAGTCTGCTTGATTGCTTTGATTTTTTTCGTATATTTTTAATGATAAGCTTTACTTACTTTTCCCATCCCTATAATTTATTAAATGCGTTGGAAAATTGTGGCTAATAAACATTTTAAATTTCAGAACTTGACGAGAGCAATGGCGGATTATTGCGTGGAGAGAATGAAGCCCTACGTGGAGCCCAAGACAGAGCGCCCTATTGCTGGAGCATTGGATTATATAGATTTTACTCGTACACTGTTTCAGAATTAGTGACTAGAGAGCTTAATAAGTATTTAAAAATGCACCTATAAAGTTATATAATATAATTTATTCAAAGTATTTATACCTAGTACTTTTCTGATATTTACTGCATTTAGAGTTCATCACAGCTGCTTTTGGGGCAGGCTATTGGTTTTCGTAAACAGTTAGGTTAAGGCATAAAGTTCTATTATAATCTTGTAACCCTTCAATATATTGGCTTGGCTTGCACACAGTGTTTTTTTTAATCCCAGGATATTAGAGATCAGCTTAGCGACATTTAAGTGCTGGTATACACGGCCGTAATTTAAGTTAATGAAATAATTGTATTCCTGCAGTATTTTTTAAAACTGCAATACCTATATGGCCACTGCAATTGACCACTGAGTGAAATTTACTACTCATTAAAAACGTTTCAGTGAATTTTTTTAATTTGTAAAATTATTTAGTTTTTTAGATATAAAAACAAATTCGTCATTTTTTTAATTTGAAACTTTGATTTATTTTGCGTTTAGTTTACATAAGAATATCTATCGTTTTTTTTTCAAGGTACTGATTTTTGCATGAATTACAAAATTCCAAAGTTAAAAGTTGAAATTGTAAAACTATACCAATTTTTAAGGCATGATTGGAAGGAACCAGTTCATCTGATGGAAAATTTCAATTAGACCTTTTTTGTAGAGCATTCAATTTCCTTAAAAAAATATTTCTGAGTCAATTTTGTTAAACTCAATGGTTTGGGAGTTCTGAGACAAAAACGCTTATGAACAAAATTTAAATTGCGAAGATAGACCTCTTAATATTGATATTATGGACTTAAACTTTCACAATATTTTTTTTGTCACCCCAAACAATATTTTCGATATTCTTTACAAAAAAAAATTGTCGATTTTTTGGCCCAGTCTAATACAGGGTGTTATGTAATTAATGTTATATATTAAAATGGGTTGTTCCTTAGGGTCCATAAAGAAGCACCTGAAACTTTTTTTTTCTAAATTCCAAAGTCTAAAAATAATTTATAATAACCTTATGTCAAAAGGTATTCAGTATTTTAATATATAACATAACACCCTGTATATATATGGGTCATTTTACGCCCAATCGACCATTTTTATTTTTGACCTCTTTGACTTAAATTACTACCCCACTAAAAACGTGTCTGTAAACTTTTTTACCCACCCGAAATTTGGTGCTTTTTTTTCAAACGCTTATAACTTTTTCAAAAATCGAGAGGTTTTTTTAATTTTTTCGTACAATTTTAAAATAGTTTAAAAAATCGAATTTTTAATGTATATGATCACTTTTGTGGGTTGTTCCTTAGGGTCCATAAAGAAGCACCTGCATCTTTTTTTTTCTAAATTCCAAAGTCTAAAAATAATTTATAATAACCTTTATCCTACCAAAAAGTACGCCACTGATCAACTAGGAACTTTAGGTTAATCTGGTGGATTTATTATGTTATGGTTGGTGACAACAGTTTTTCCAAAATCTCTCAAAAAAGTTGACATTGTTTAAGTTTAGCTTAATTACAAAAATGACAAAATTAACAATGCAAATTGTCAATTTGGCGTTTTTATTAATTGTTGGTTATTTCATTTTTGTACTGAAATTCAAACAAAATCTGCCAACTTTTATGACAGAATCTAGTGCATTTTTTTTAAATTTTAGGTTATGTTTTCAAATTGTAAATATCTTAACTAAGGGAAGTGCTGTTGGATTTATTTACACAAATTAAATGTTTAAAGTTTAACCTGTGAACTGGTCCCAATTTCATCTGAGTAAACAGAGAAAAAAACTGATGAAAAAATTAATTTTGTGGTTATGGATTTCAAATTTCAAAGGTACTAAATTTTCTAATCATTGCTTAAGCTAATAGCTGGATGAGTAAATAAATACAGAAGGGTGTTAGAGCTTTAAGGGCATAAAACTTTTGTATTTATTGAGTTTTTATTTATTTTTTGCAAGAAAAATTTTTAGTAACAATTTTTTACATCTGGCCACGCATTATGCGCATTATGCGTGACGCATAGCTACTTTGTTGGTTGGTATCTATGTACTCACAAAATACAGGTGTGCAGAGATAAACAAGTGTGTAACCAGTGGCGTATCACAAAAAATATAAAAAACTTCTAATGCATATTTTTTCTTTATCTTTGGAAAAATGTTTTAATTTTGTGATTTAAGTTTCAGTTGTGACGCTTGTGCCTTTGAACTTACCTATTGGTAAATAGGGTAAATTAATTTTCATATACCTACTTAACTTTTTACGATTTATTTTAAAACTTATTTACAAACTTTTTACCCCGGATTAGGTGGTAGGTACTGTCCCACAATAGCAACAACGCACCCGCATTATTAGTGATGCGTAAAATCGTGAGGCAAACATTAATTAATTAATTCGTCCTATATCCAAGTGTCCTAATTAGGACACTTGTGTCCTTGTCCCGGACGTGAACGAATTAGTTAATATATTGTATACATGTATACAATATATTAACTCATTATACATATTGTATATATATGTACAGCGTCCGTTCCCACTTGGGTATGGTTTAAAAATGACAGGTTAATCACTGAATTTGACATTTAGGGGAACTAAATTGCACAAATTATGTTTTGTTTTTTCACCACCAGCGGCGCTGATTGTCCATGCGTACAGCACTGAAAAATACGACTGTTTTTTATTGGTTGTTGGATCGTTTTGTGTTTGTCCTATTGTGTAATAGTCCTTCGGAGGGGACTTTAAGCCCGCGGTCCGTTCCTACCCCTAACCCGCACAAGCCATTCAGTTGGCTTATGGGACTTCTTAAGAAGTAAGGGTGGAACTAAAAGAGCACTTTTGTGTATAAACTTTTTTTTGTTACATCGATAAATAATATTTTTTCTGTTTATTTTTTGGGGAAAACGATTTTGTTGATTTTACTGTTAATGAAAAATGGACCCCCAGAGTCAAATATCATTTTGCATATGCGAATATACATCTTCGGCAAAATTAAATAAAATGAAAACCCTAAACCTGTATCTCAGAGTTAAAGTATACCTACCTATATTTTTTTTACAAAAAATCCATTGTCTTTACAAGTATACAAGACTATAGTCGAAATTTCTTTAAAGATATTAAAAATATAGTCTTCAATATTAATGAAATCGTTAGTTTATTTGTGGTTTAAAGATAAACTTTATTTAAAAAAGAGTCTAACAATCAGTCTGATAGTTTCAATAAACAATTTATGATTTATGTTTTTTAATAATGCCTAAAATTTCATTGACATCATCCTTAGAACCCAAAAATATGGGACTCCTCTCGTGCAATCCTGTAGGAACTATATCCAAAATGGAAATTTCTCCATTTGAAGCCAATCCTCCAGCTTGTGTTACTATGTAAGCCATCGGATTACATTCATAAAGTAAACGCAGCTAAAAATAGTTTTTTAAAATATTTTTGAATTAAATATTTTCATTTATAATAGGAAATGGATTTTTTTGCTACCTTTCCCTTTGGAGATTGCTTTGTTGCCGGATATACGAAAATACCGCCATATTTGATGGTTCTATGAACATCGGCAACCATGGAACCTACGTACCGGGCGTTGTATGGTTTTCCCTTGGCAGGATCCTTTTTATTTTGTACGTATTCCTTAATGGCTTCGTCCCATAAATGTGTGTAGCCTAGAAAATATAGATTTATTAACTAATAAAAAACCTTTCATGTTTAAATATTAAAATAGTTAATTAACATTATTTATAAATTTTTTTTTCTCGATAAAAAAGTCATCCACAAATCCACAAATGCTATTTATGGATGGCAGTACGTACTGCCCCGGTTCAGTACGTACTGAACCGCGCCGGTAGCTTAAGATTTTATTGCCAGCCCATTGAAGACGAATAGTCTATCGGAAAGTTTCTTATTATAATAATAACGAAAAACAAACAAAAACCTAATAAAATCGCTTAGAAAAACAAAAATATTATTGTTTTTTAATTTTTAAAAACAAACAATTGTACTTTAAATTTAAACAATGGTACTTACTTTAAAGTAATTTCCCCTAGCGGGATTGAACCGAAGACTTTAATTTAAATTAAATTATCGCAAGCTCGATCGTGCCTAAATTAAATTCGTGTATAAAATGGCGTTTATTAAACTTGATACATAATATACTATTAAGATAATAATCCACGTTACTCGGGGATTTTTGTCCCGCCCGTCACAATTAAAAATTGTGAGTAAAAACTACACGTTATAAAATTTATTTTAAAATATTGTTTATTATGCTTTTAATAAGTTATAAGCACAATAAAAATAATATTATAAAATATTAATTTAAAAAAATTGTGAGTAAAAACTACACGTTATAAAATTTATTTTAAAATATTGTTTATTATGCTTTTAATAAGTTATAAGCACAATAAAAATAATATTATAAAATATTAATTTAATAACTTGTGGCTTTTACTCACAATTTTTAATTGTGTCGGGTGGGACAAAAATTACTGAGTAACGTGGAATGCCCCTAAACTTTTCTAGTTTTCTAAATAACAACAAAGTGTAAACATTTCTAAAAGATAATTTGTTTATACCTGTCTATAGACAAATTATCTTTTAGAAATGTTTACATTTTGTTGTTATTTAAATAAACAACCCCATTTTTATGCTTACCCTCATTGATTGAGTAAATTTGTCCCTTGTCCGGGATCCTCATGCCCTGGTCGGTCAAAATGAACTCTCCAATGTACGGGTCCAACATAAACCCATTAACGCCGCTTCCGATCGACAATACCAACATGGTGGCGCTTCCGTAGAGCGCGTAACCGGCCGCCACGATTTTGTTTCCTGGCTGCAAAGCATCCTTGATGCCCGGTTTCGAATTGTCGTCCTTTTTGGTTATCGCGAAGATCGAACCGATCGATACCAGACAATCGATGTTCGACGAGCCATCCAGCGGGTCGAACGACACGATGTATTTTCCACGGTTTTCAAGCTCGATCTATAAAATTGGCAATTTATTAGTTATTAACGTTAAAACGTCTTATGGCTAGAAAATCGACACTATTTTTTTAGTTCATCTATAAATAAACGGTCTAAGGATTATAGGTATACCTATCTAGAGGTAAATGGTCTTGGGATTATCTATCTTGGGGCAACTATTACACAGTTTTCCCTCCCATGAAAAATTCCTTTGAAAATAGTCTTAAAAAAATGATACCCGTGTCTCGGCGGTTTTTTCAGATAACGTGAGATAATGTTCGTTTTTACATTTTTATATTCTTCATAAAATTCTGTGTAAAATTAATGTACCATATTTCGTTAATTTTCTACGACCACTATAGTGGTACATATATGTAAAAGTCACATTTCAATGAAATGATTTCATAATAGCATCGTTGCTTAGAAAAATGAATCTTTTCATTGGCAAGGCAAAACACGAATGTAAAGTGATATTTCTGTGTGAAAAGTGACAGGTCTGTGTGAAAAGAAATTGACAGCATCGTTTGACATTCGTTTCAAAATTTATATTGTATTTGTATATATATGTATATATATGTATGTCTAAATATCATTTAGAACACAATTAATTGTGTTTGTATATTTAAATTAAGAAGGTAAGTTTATTGATTTTAAGTAACTTATACTTTAAAAATTAAAAGAATGAGATCAAAGTAATTTTAACAGTTGTCAAACACGTTTTTAGGTTATTTTGTTTTGTATTTGAATATAGTTTAAAAAAAGGGTCGTAGAAAAAACATTGTGTTTCACTTGTGAGAAAAGCTTTCTTCAAGCTCAAGTTAATGCACACTCGGCCTGACGGCCTCGTGAGCAATTTAAACGCTCTCATGAAAAATTCGCTTTTCAACACTTGTAAAACTGATAACTATTTTATTTAAATGAAAAACCCTGTATGTTTTTACATAATCAAATAGAAAATTAAAAAAACATTTCGATTGAATTAATTATTCCCTATAAATAAATTTAATAATTTTCGAGATATTTAATAATTTCTAATATTAGACCCAGAGTATACTATAGTCAAGAAAAGCAACGTCCGAGGCAATATGAATTAACAATTCCTTAAATGTAAACATTAAGTAAACATTTAGTAATAAATTAGTGATAAAAATTGTTACTTAATTAAAATATTTTTGGTTCATTAAATTGTTACAATTACGCATTCTTTTTGTTATTAAAATATTTCATAAAATAAATTTTATATTGTATTGTCTCCAATGAGCTAGTGCCTTCATCTATGACATTCTACAGCTTTGTTGATTTTTTTTCAAAATTATCAAATACTGTTTATATTACTTAGGTACTTTTAAATTTTAAAAACGTTGGGCTTGTCAATGTTTTTTAAAATTCACTGACTGCTTTTTTATTAGTAATTTTGTTTGAAAAACACTTAATTAGTCAACAAAAATAATTAGGTACTTAATTATAATAATTAGGTACTTAATTATAACAACCTAAAAAAATGACGCCATTAAATTTTGAAAAATGACAGATTACGTGGTTACCACAGATACCGTAAACTCACCCGTGACAGGTTTCTTGATACAAAATAATATTTAAAATTTTAGAAATTCTTAAATATCTCTGAAATTATTAACTTTATGTGTAGCTACATTTGACTAATAATTCCCTAGGGAATTATTAGTCAAAATGTTTTTTAATTTGCTATTTTATTTGGTAAAAACATACCGGTGTTTCAAGTTAGCCCAATTTGCCCAGGGCTTTTACGGGTAATTTGTTGAAAATATTAAAGAATTGACATGGAATCTTTTAAACAATGTTTAAAATTCCAAAAATTTCACCCCCATATCCGTAAACCTAATAGCAAACAAGTTATATGCTATTTTTGATTGACGCGCATTTGTCAAATATTAACGAAAAAAATTAATAACTCGAAAACTATTTACTTTAGGTATAGGACATGGTATAGTAATTTTATTTAGAATTTTATTTAGAATTTATAATGTAAAAATATATGGGATGTTGAAATAACAAACCGGAAGTGGTATTTTGTTCAAAATATTTAAAAAAATAGACTTTATTTACTAGAGACAATTTATTTACTTCAAAATATTATTATTTTCTTTAAGTATAATTTTTGTATTTTGTAAAAAATTTGAATATTTGAAGAAAAAATAATATTAAACAAAATAGAGAATTAAAAATCTGTATCTATAGGTTTTAACCTACCTTTTAAAAAATAATAATAAAAATTAAATAACATGAAGCGGTGAGACACGGGTACGTTTTTTACCCTTTATTTTTAAATACAAATTTTTATGGGAGAAAAATCGTGTTGAACTGTGTTATACTTAAGAATAATCCTTCTAGCTTCAATTTATTACGTTAAAGTTATAATTATAATAATAAATATTTAATGATTTTTGTGGTCTTACTTCAATGACTGTTTCATTTTCTTCTGATACCAATAATCCGACTGTAAGTGAAGACTTGAGTGTATTTATAAACAATTCATTTGCAAGTACATCGAGTTTTTTTACTTCTTCACCTTGTACGTTGGTTTCTCCTGCTGTCCCAAATCTTAAATGAAAACGTAAATGGTGTTATTTATGAAATGATTTCTTTTATAAAATATAAAAATAAATAGCTGCAGCATGCTTTTTCCATATTTTACGGGTTATCAAGTCTATGCAAAAATGTACGGATTTTATAAATATTTAGAACAAACCCAGTGTCGTGCTCACTTGATGTAATCGTCCATTTCTTGAAAATTGATTGATAAATTAAATTATAATTCTGCCCTGCTAAGTCAAACCCCTGTATGTACAATATTTTAAGTAAAAAATGACGAATAGTATATATATTATCTACTCCAATAAGTGGATAATTAAATGATTTTTAAAAATTATGAAATAAAATCTGACATCTGTCAAATGGTTGAGGAGATCTGCAAATACCCCCCCTAATAAACAATCCGTGGGTTATTACGATCCTAATTGTTTAAAATAAATGCATTAAAAAAGGCATGTAAATAAAACTAACATTTTAAATTTAGCGCGACGGAAATGTAATTGACTTAACGAGTACCGTGTGATTGGGTAGAAAGAATTTCCTGTTTAGGTGGGAAAAGGAAGGGGGGAAGAATGCCGGTAGTCAGACGGGCAGGGAAAGTAACTTCTAGTCGGTGACCCAACATCGATCCCGACTTCTCACGTGCTGGCACGAACCGCCTTATAACGTGACGTCATAATAATAATCCGGTTTTGTTCCCCGAACATATAATATTTGTTGTCAAGCTAGATAGCTTAGATGGTAGGGCGTTTGCTTTGCATGCGAGAGGTCCCGGGTTCGATACTCAGAAGTTGTCAAAATTTTTTTACTTTTTTATTTCATAAATTTGTTATTCCTTTGTTAAAAAGTGTTTTATTTTTATCGTAACATAAATTTGCCCATTTTAGTTGGGTTTTTTGCTCAATGGGGCGGGGGGGGCCAATGGGGCGGGGTCGGTTGGGTTGTGTTGTTGAGTTTGGGTTGGTTTGGTTTTATTACGTAACTAACGTGCCCTTAACATGTATACAGGTACAATTTATTATTATATTATTGTTGTGCCGTCAATTTTAAATGATAATGATGCATTGTATAATATATAATAAATTCTTTGTCCAGTCGGGATCGAAGTTGGGGCACCGGCTAGAAGTTAGTGGCAGGGAAGAACAAAGGAGGATTCGAGAAGAGCCGGGCAGCGACTAGAGGCGCAAAATTGTGTGTGCAGAAAAGTGGTTAAATTTGTAAGTTTGTACATTTTAAATAACTAAATTATTGTAGTATAAATATTCTCGAGCATTTTGGTATAATTAGTTTACACAAATACCTTGTGTAAAGATAAATACTCGATCATTTGACTTGGCGTCATAGATCGATCTATTCCGCCGTGATGGCTGCCGTGTTGATAAACCACGCCGTAATCGACATAAATTAAATTTACGTTTAAAATAGGTATTTAGTATTATAATTTAGATTCTAAGTTATAAACAATTGCTACTTGATTTTATCTAATTAAAAGGGTAGGTTTTTACGAGTATTTATCAAATTAAAAGAGCAGGATTTTACGGGGATTTTATCTAATTAAAGGAGCAGGGCCGTATTGAGTTTTATTTAGCTAAATGTCAGGATTGTACTCGAGTTTATTTAATTATTTTAAATAAATATTTCAAAAAAGGGATTTAACATAAACGCTGTGAAAATTAAGTGTATTTAATATTGATTGTCTTGAATACGGGATTTATTAAATTGTACTTGTAGATTCATATTTATGTCCCGTAATTAGTTAAGTGATTTTTACCAGTCATATTAAAATATTTGGTATTACATTTGGAGTGAGTAGCAACAGTGATTGTACGATAGCGACATTTGATTTATCCACTGTCCGTGGAGTCCTGGAGCAACAAGCCCATTTTAAATTACTATCCTGTAAATTTTATTAGGTGCTAGCCGGTTTGATTTCATCTGACTGCGCGACGCGGACATTGTTTTTGTTATTTGTGTCATTTTGATTACCTAGTATTTTATGGTAATTATTAATTTATTAAAGTTTGCCGACAAATAAGTCAAAATAGACAATTGCGAACCCTCAGTTGAAGCGATCTCGAGCCTGATAAATTATTTACTTCTTTTCCAACAGTTGATTGAGCCTGAACTCTAATAAATATTACATGAAAAATTATGTAATAAATAAATTCAACAGTAAATAATTATACAAAAACTTTATTTGGATGATGGAGGCCTATTGCAGACGGAATGCTTAATGAATAAAATTAAATTTAAAATACAAAATAGAGACTAAGACTCAATCTACTTTCACCCAACAAACAAACAAACAAACAAACAAATTAAAAATGAAAACGAGGAACACATACGACAGCAAAGCTCTAGTATGATGTATTATTTATCAAATGGCATTTATATAAAGGGTGGGCCATTAATTGGTTTGTTTTTAAACCATTGCCCATGGCAACACTCGATGCACCGATTTGTTTTAAATTTTGACAGCTTGTCATTCTGACATTTTGCGGCACGAAACAACTATGTTTTCGAAATATTGAAAATTTATTTTCAAAGTCAGTGTTGTGTGGCCGAAACCGTGCGAATTTTGAAAAGAATTATGGGTCGTGAAAGAGCGCCAAGCGGAACTGCTGTAGTAAAATTGGTGAAGAAAGTTCGTGAGACAGGCTTGCTATTAGATAATAGAAAAGGTCCCCGAGCTCTGACAGTGCGTACGCCTGAGAATATTGAGGCTATATCCCGTAGTGTGGTACAAAATCCATCGTTCTAAACTCGACGCTGATCGCAGCAATTGGCCATTAGTTGCACCAGCCTGAGGAGACTATTGCACAAAGACCTAGGATTATTCGCCTACAAGGTCCAGATGACCCAGGAGTTGAAAGCAAATGACCATATGCTTCGATATTAGTTCGCTGTGTGGGCCACATACCAGTTCAACAATGACGTCAATTTTGGTCGAAAATTCATTTTTTCAGACGAAGGTCCTTTCCATCTTGGGGGCTATGTAAACAAGCAGAACTGCAGATTTGGGGCACGGAACAACCACACGTAATCGTAGAGAGGCCAATGAGTGACAGTTTGGTGTGGATTTTGGAGTAGTGGCATAATTGGCCCATTTTTCTTCGAAAATACTGCTGGAAACGCCGTTACCGTCAATAACGACAGAGCTATGTTGACCAACTTTTTATGGCCTCAAATCGACGCCATGAATGTAGGCGATCTTTGGTTTCAACAAGATGGGGCCACATGTCATACAAGCCGACTGACAATCGATCTCTTGCGCACCAAATTTAACAACCAAATAATCAGCCGTTTTGGAGATGTCAATTGGACTGCCCGGAGTTGTGATTTGATGCCGTTAGATTTTTTCTGTGGGGGTTCGTTAAGGAACGATGTTATGCCGGCAATCCGGAGACAATTCCAGCTTTAAAACATAACATTAAAACTGTTATTGGCGATATAGGCGGCGAAATCATGGAAAAAGTGCTTCAAAATTGGACACGCAGGATGGCTTACTGTAGGGCCAGCAGAGAAAGTCACATGAACGAAATTATTTTTCATTCTTAAATCGGAGACTCTAACGTTCACAATAAAAAAAAATGTTCTTAAAATATTGATTTAGACTCATTTTATAGCGTTTTTGAAAACAAACCAATAAATGGCCCACCCTTTATTTATTTGAGTTGTTTTCGCAGTAAGGAGATATTGTGTGGTTTTAACGGTTTGTAGGATGTCTCTTTCTTTCAGAAAATTAAGTTAAATGTCGTTTGGGTTGCGGTTATTTTTGTTGCTCTATCCAAGTAAATATCATTATTGTTTGTTATAAATTTTAAATATTTTATACGTGTAACTCACTCCCATAATCCCTCATTAAGGAAGGTTTTATGAGCGATATTTATATAAAAAAATAAACAGGAGCCTTCCGGGTTTTTGACCTGTTCAAACGTAACTTATTGCCTTTTATTTACTGTATTTATTATTTCCCTTTTAATACTTTCCCCATGAATACAAAACCTCAGAAGTACCTTGGGTTACTAAATAAATGAGCTTTATTACCGTAAGTATTTATTTATTTGTCGTAATTTAACATAACATTTGCCGTGGTGTTATATTTCATTTTATCACTTGGGGACCTCACTTTTTACCAATTTTCAATTTTACTATAGTCGCCTTCTCCCAATTTAAAACCCGATTGGTTCAAATCACAGTGAATATTGAAATCGGCCCACCAATGTTGCCTAACAGCGTGAATAATAAGTTCATTATTCCCGTGGTTAGACAGGGAATTTATAATTTTAATCATTAAACAATTAAAATAATAATCTTTGTAGCGGAACGCACCCTAACCCCCACTCTACCTCCGGAAGAAGAAGAAGCTTCTGGGTCAGTCGAACAATCAAGTCGAAGAGCGCGGTACGTTCGCCACCACGCTGACTATCATTATTATTAACTTTATACTTTTATTATCCGATTGTGATCTATTTTCATGTATCATTATTAATAAACCAGTGCGTTTATGAACTTAGTGCAGTTTTCGTGAAAGTTCCCACAAAGAACCCTTCGAGGCGCGACTCCCTCGTGCCACGCTACATCTTTTCATATTCTTGACGTGAGATTTTAAATTATCCCCCTCCCTTAAAATAAGATTTGTTGAGATTTTGCTAGACCCCCCCATTTTTATCTCACGTAATTAATTGATGCACCTTATAGCGGGATTTATAGATCTGACGTTGCCGTTGGTCGTTTCAGTTCCCGTTCAAAAGTTAAATATGTGATCGTCTACCATGTTATTTATAGTTTGACGTTGAGGTTGCAGTTGCAGTTGCCGTTGACGTTCGAGTTGACCAACTTTTAACTTTGCAGTTCGTATCGCGAACAGCAGCCAATCAAGATGCTAGTTTTCCGCATGCGCAATACGATATAACCATGAATCTAAAATAAATGACATTTATTTTGTTTTGATTTGATTTTACAGTATCCTTAGATTTTATTCCAATCTACTTACTGCTGCTTACTAA